TAGTTGTGGTGGCTGAGAGTCAAAACAGCTGCAGTCGTGTCAAGCTGTATCCATGCAATCGGGACAATATTTGGAGATACTGCCATTTTGGTGTTGACTTCCTTTGTGTGACAAAGGAAGAGCCAGCTGGAAGAGTCCCTGGCTGGGCTGGGAAAGCACACTAGCCAGCACTGCTGGTGGTCCAAGTAGGCGTGAGCAGATGTTGGGCAAGTGTCTCAGGGCAGGCTGAGCAGGGAGGAAGAAAGTGGGCTTTCTCCAGGGGCCTCAGGAGCCAAGGAGGACAACACACTACCTCTGGTCAGGGTGAATGAGTCCAGTTTCTTTTTCTTTCTTCTCTTCCTCTTTTATCCTTTTGCTTTTTTTTGGGGGGGGGGTTTAACTGGGGATTGAACCCATGGGCATTTAACCACTGAGCCACATCCCAAGCCGTTTTTATATTTTATTTAGAGACAGAGTCTCCCTGAGTTGCTTAGGGCCTTGCTAAATTGCTGAGGCTGGCTTTGAATCTGCGATCCTCCTGCCTCAGCCTCCCGAGCCACTGGGATTACAGGCATGCATCAATCCACCCAGACACTTTGTTTTTGTTTTTAGATTGGGTTTCTCTATGTTGCCCAATCTCGTCTAGAACTCCAGAGAATCAGGGATTAAATGCCCAGGGGTACTTAACCACCAAGTTACATCCCCAGCCTTTTTTGGGGGGATTTTCTTAAGCAATCCTCCTCCTCAGCCTTCCAAGTAGCTGGGACAAGGGCACACCACTGTACCCATCCATTAGTCTATTTTCTGTTGCCAATAATACAATACCACAGACTGGGTGAGTTATAAAGGAAAGATATTTATTTGCCTTACAGTTCTGGAGGTTCAAGATGATTGACCTTTTTGCTGGCAGAGTTCCAGGATGACACAGGGCATCACATGATGAGAGTCAGGGGGCATGAGTGTCTCTCTCGCACGCCTCTTTTTTTTTTTTCTCTCTCTCTCTTTCTTTTGTGCTGCAGGTTGAATTTTAGGCCTTGCACATGCTAGGCAAGTTAGTCTACCACTGAGCTCTACCCCAGCCGTCCAATCTCCCTCTTCTTATAAAAGAAGCAGGATTCCATTATGGAGGCTCTATCCTAATAAATTTATCTTATGCTATGATCACTTCCTAAAGGCCTCACCTCTAAATACAGCCAGATTGTTTCCACCTCTGAATATTTCACAAAGAGGACTAATGTCAATACAGGAAGAACTGGGCAAACAGGGGTCAGGAGATGGAGCCAGGGCCAAGCCACACCGATAGAAGGGAGAAGAAAGACTCATTGAGAAATGGAGGAGGACGGAGAGGGGGCCATAAGAGGGCTTCCAGCTGCCCCAGGGATGACTTCTGGTCTGGCGTGCTGAGTCAGAGGGGTCTGTGGGTCCCAGATGCTCTGGAAATAGGCGGGTGCTCAGTTGGATGTAGATTCAGTGCTTCAGAAAACTGGGCCAGATCTGGGGCAGAAATCCATCAGCTCATAAATAATGACTGAGCTGCTTCTGCCTGGGTGACAATCCTAGGGGATGGCCAAGAGTCCAGGGAGTGTACCCTCCACTGCCCTATTGGTGAGTTAGGAAAGGCACCAGGGACTTGGGTTGCACACTAAAGGACCCCCCTCTCCACTCTAGACATGCAGGGGTAAGTTACCATGTTCTGTGGGCACCACTGGGAAGCACTGATTAGAGGGACTTGCAAGGCCTTCCAAGGCTGGTCCTGGCAGCCTCCTTGGACTCTGGGGCCAGGTGCAGATCTGGGAATGCAAAGCCAAGCTCCTACCAAGCAATGGCTGAGGGTTGTGCCCAGCAGCCTCCCTGGTTTTCTTGGGCCTGCTGGATTTGGAACAGATGGATGCTACCAGCAGTTCTCAAGGGACACCACTTAGATCTAAGCCAATGGCTACTTCCCATCCCTGCCCCTCCCCTGACTGTAAAGATTGTCCAGGAAGGGGATCCTGTTTAGGCTGATGAGAATTGGCCCTGAGACTTTTATTAAACCATGTGAAAATCATCAGAACCCAAACAGAATTACTTCTGTCAAACCCTAACAATAAATACAGTAGGGTGGTGACAAGGGAGGGGATTTTACACATGCATGCCTGATAAGAAGAACTGTCACAAAAGTCTCTGCCACAACCACAGCCTTGCACAAAGGCCACCACAACCTTACACAGAAATATTTCTGCCCAACGACCGTCAACCCCAACTTGGGCTGACACCACCCTCATTTTTGATCCTTGTAGCCAAGGATGATTATTTCAAAACAAGTTACGCAGCCCTCCTAATTTGCCTTTCAAAACTCCCCCACACCTCTACCTCCTTGAATATACCAAAGCACGTTCCGTTCCCTTCACTGTACTCTGCTTCTCCCCAAATAAACTCATTATCTTGGAAGACTCTCTGGGTTTGTTACTTTAGGTTAATGGCTTTACTTAACCATCAAGGGAATGGTTGTGTGTTATGGTTTGGGTCTTAAATGTCTCCCAAAGCACATGTGCTGAAGACTTGGGGGCTGGCCTATGGCACTACTGGGAGGGGGCGGAAACTTTAGTAGGCAGATCTTAGTGGAAAGAAGTTTAGTCATTGGGAGGTGTGCCCTTGAAAGTGATATTAGGACCTTGGCTCCTTCCTCTCTCTCTTGCTTCCTGGTTGCCATGAAGTGTGCAGCTTTGCTCTACCACATGCTGTTCTATCATCATGATGTTCTACCTCACCAAAGGCCCAAAGGCAACAGAGCCAGGTGACCAGAAAACCTCTGAAACCATCAGCTGAAATTAACCTTTCATCCTTATCAATTGAATATCTCAGGAATTTTGTCACTGTGCTGGAGAGCTGACTAACCCGTCTACTTATGTGCTAAAGCCCCTGAGACAGTGGCTGGGGAGCCTATCCATAGTGAGGCCACCACATGAGAGTCTTGAGGGTCTGGGGTCAGACTCAGATCCTGCCACTTCTGAAGCACTTCAGGGACTTTCCTCTTCTATCTAAACCTTGGAGCCCTGAACTAGACCTGCCTTTTCCCAAGGCCACCTACCTTCTCAAAGCAAGACTCTGACAGCAGATACCATTCCCCCAACAGTCATAGTGACAGTGGCAGGACTGCCCCCATGGTCATCTCAAACTAAGACATTCTTTGCCCCCAGGCCTTTCCCCTAATCTGTAAGACACCCCTACCTCTAGCCACCCAGTCAAGCCCAAATGAGGAGTCTGTCCCATCTAGGTCTCTCTCACATATGTAGCCCTCAGATAAGGCCATGTTCTGAGCCTCAAAACGCATGAATGATATTTATTTGTTTGTTTATTTTATTTATTGCAGTACTGGGAATTGAACCTGGGGCTTTACCTCTGAGAGAAATCCTTAACTCTTTAATTTTTTTTTTGTTTGTTTTTTTGAGTGGGGATACTGGGGTTTTAACCCAGGGGAGCTTTCCCACTGAGCTGCATCCCCAGCCCTTTTTATGTTCTAATTTTGAAACAGGATCTCATGAAGTTGCTTAGGGTCTCACTAAAACTGCCAAGGCTGGCCTCAAACTTGTGATCCTTCTGTCTCAGCCTCCTAAATTGCTGGGATTATAGGCATGTGCCACTGTATCCCACTTCTTTGAAAATTTTGTTTTGAGACAGGGTTTTGCTAAGTTGCTCAGCCTGGCTTCTAACTTGCAATCCTCCTGCCTCTGCCTCCTGGGTTACTGGGATTATAGAAATATGCCACCATACCTGGCCCATGAATGATATCTTTTATAAAAATTATTTTGTAGATGTGATTAAATTAAGGATTTTGGAATGGGAAGATTATAAGAATAGGCCCTCTATTCCCACCAGAGTCCTCACTAGCTTTCTGAGGCTCATTCTCCACCCAGACTCTTTCTCATCAGAGAGGGATTTGACATAAACATACAGAGAAGGCCATGTGGCCACAGAAGAAGAGGCTGCAATGATATGGCCTCTAGGGAAAGGCAAAGAAATAGCAAGAAACAGATTCTTCCCCAGAGCCTCTAGAGAGAGTGCACCCTGCCTACACCTTGATTTTAAGTCCCATGATACTGATTTTGGACTCCTGGCCTGTAAGAGAATAAATTGTATCATATGTATGTATGTATTGCAATACTGTGAACAAACTTTGACATGTTCTACTGCTGAGCCACATTCCCAACCCATTTTATTTTTAACATTTATTTTTTAGGTATAGATGGACATGACACAATTACCTTTATTTTTTATGTGGTGCTGAAGATGGAACTCAGGTCCCGCCAATGCTAGGTGAGCACTCTACCTCTGAGCCACAATCCCAGTCCCCCCAACCCATTTTTTAAATTTATCATTTTTATTTATTTTTATCTATCCATTGATTGATTGATTGATACAGGGTCTAGCTAAGTTGCCCAGGCTGATCTTGAACTTATGATCTTCCTGCCTCTGCCTCTCAAAGTTGCTGGAATTACAGGCAGGTTATGCCACACCTGACTATTTAATTTTATTGTTTTAAGCCAGAAATTTGTGGTATTTTTTTATAGCCACTGTGAGAAACTAAAAGACTACCTTTTTCCTGCTTGACTGAACTGTAGCGGGGAATGGGAGGTTCTACCATGTGGTATAGCATGTTCCTTGGCTCTGACAAGTAGAGGTACACCCCTTCAATGGTCTGAATGTTTATGTCCTCCCCGAAATTAGTATGTTGAAACTTAATCACCAGTGTGATGATATTAGGAGATACCTTGAGAAGTGATTGATTATATCATGAGGATGGGAACCTCATAAATGGGATTATGGTCAGCCCTCTGTGCCCAGTGGATTTTGCATCTGCAGATTCAACCAACTATGGACTCAATTAACCACAGATCAAAAATATTCACAAAGGAGCATGGGCACGTATCTCAGTGGTAGATGGTTTGCCTAATGCCTACAAAATCCCTGTTTTTGAGTTTTAGCATTGAAAATAAATTTTTTAAAAAATGCACATGTAGACTTTTTTTTCTTTTCTTTTCTTTTCTTTTTTACATTATTTCCTAAACAATACAGTATATCAACTACTTACATAGCATTGACACTGCATGGGTTGGTTGTTGTTTTGAGGTACTGGGATTAAACCCAGGCCCTCACACATGCTAAGAATGCACTCTACCACTGAACTACACCCAAGAACCCGCTGACCCCCACCCTGGTCTCACTAAATTGCCTAGACAGGCCTTGAATTTGTGATCCTCCTGCCTCCGCCTCCTGGGTAGTAGGATTATAGGTGCTTCACACAACTTGTTATTAGGTATTATAAGTAATCTGGAGATGATTTATAGTGTTTGGGTGGATGTGCATAGGTTATGCGCAAAGACTATGCTATTTTATAAAAGGAACTTGAGCAGTCATGGATTTTGGTATCCTTGGAAGGGCTTGGAACCAATCCTCCACAGATAATGAGGGATGACTCCAGTGCCTTATAAAAGAGAGCTATCTATCCTCTTCTACCATATGAGGAAACAACTAGAAGGTGCCATCTATGAAGGGGTGGACCTTCACCAGACACCAAATCTGCTGGCACCTTCATCTCAGATTTCCCAGCCTCCAGAAACATGAGTGATAAGTTCTGTAAAATACCAGAAGCCACTCACTTTATGGTATTTTTTCATAGCAACCTGAATGGATTAAAACCAACCACAGCAGCACTTTTGGAGTGACAAACACCCACCAATGTTCCCAGGAACCAGTGTGGTGCGAGACACCCAGGTCCATCTAGGTTGGCTCCCGGGGCAGGCAGCCCACCCTGGCAGCTGGCAAAGCCACTCACAGCAGTTGGGGATTCACTGGTTTGCACAGGCAGTTCTCAACCGGGGTGACGTGGCACTGTTTCAAGTTTGAGTTGTCATCCCTTGGTGTATGTGGTGGTGGGTGTTATTGTATTAGGCAGGCAGAGGCTAGGAATGCTGCCCCCCAACACAAAGAATCATTCTATCCCACATGTCAGTGTTGCCAAGGATGAGAAAACCTGGTGTCAAACATATGGGTATTGAGGCTGCTGGGAGTCTCAGGTCTTGCTTTGCACATCCTTTTCTTGACATGGAGGACAAGATCCAGAGAAGGGCCAAGGCTCTTTAGGAGTTGGATGGAGCAGGGGCTCCAGGCCATGTCCTTGCCTTCCCACCAATAGGTAGGACCAGGGACTAGCCAAACATCTGAGTGCCCAAAAATGCTGTGACTGGAGCAGAGTAGGGGTGCCTCTGTCCAGGGGTGGCCTGGGTGAGGCCCAGCCCATGTCTGAGTCTTGGTTCCCCACCTCTGTGGTGGTGCATTATGGAGGACCACAGAAGCTTGCTGTGTGCATGCACCCCACTGGGTAGTATCGGAGGGTCCTCTCCCCTGCTCAGAACCACTGAACTGGGCTATCATCCGATTCCTCTTTAATCTTGGACTGGTGGATACACAGATTGGGAAGGTGGGCAAGAAGCCAGGGGAATGCTAGAGAAGCCAAGGCATGGCCACCAGGGGCTGTGGGGGAAGGGTTAGAACTAGGCTCAGCCCCCATAGTCATCCATCTGCCAGGAATCAGTGTGGTGCAAGGCACCCAGGTCCGTCTAGGGCAGGCAGCCCACCCTGGCAGCTTTGCCTCTTTCGGTTCCAGTTTGACCTCTCCGTCAGGGGTCTAGATCCTGCCAAAATGCTTTGTCCCCTGGACTTGTCCAGCCAAGGCAGAAGTCTGGCTCTGAGCTAAGCTGTCTCCTCAGTAGCCGGCTGCCTCTCCACTTTTCCTCTGGTCAGATACAGCATACACACAGGTCCCCTCCTGAGACACAGCCTGGACCACATTCAGGAAAAACAGCCTCTGGGTCTTGTTCTGGCCACGGTCTTGTAGCCCTTTCTGCACCTCCTGGAGAAGAAGGAAGATAGGTTCACAGGGAGGTTGGCTGAATCCACCTCCAGAGGGGAGAGGCTGGACAGGAAATAGGAAAACAGACCAAGAAGGAGGGACAGGAAAAGGGGAAAGTAGTGGAGGGGGTGGGTGCTGGTCACAGGCCAGAGAGTCTGTGGCTTTACTCAATAGCCTGAAGAGATCAGAAGGACTGAGAGGGGCAGGTCTGCCTCTGGGGACTGTGCAATGGGGACATTTCTCAGGCCAAATGGACCTTGAGATGCATTTTGGTCCTGGGCTTGAGGATACCAGGGCCTCAGAATGCAAATCTGAGGAGTTCTGGAGGTTCTTGATGGAGGAGGTAGCGCCCCAGGTAAAAGCATGAGTGATCTAATAGTGGGAGATGCTCAGGGCCTGGGCCCCAATAACTCACCCTCAGGACCCTGAATCTGTGGACTTTCAGGCTGTTAGAGACCAAGACAGGCCCTTAACCCTGAGGTACTGTTTTCTAAGATACTAAGTACTATACCCTAGAGTAGCACCTACCCATATTTATCAGTTTATAAATCCTAAACCTGAGCCTCTTTGGCCTCATGTTTCCAGGCACCATTTTGGACTAAGAACCTTGCCCATCAGGGCCCATGATTCCAGAGACATCCAGGTACAAAGATGTCTGCAGTTCTCAGAATGAGGACTTCCAAAATGAGGTCACTGGGTGATGCTGCACTACCTGAGCCACTGGCATGGAAGAGTCTTTGGAGTCCTGGACTCTTAGTTCTAAGTTTCTCTGTGCCTGACATATGAATTGCCAATGTCCTTTGACTTATAGGCCAAGACCCTCACTGCTGAGGCCAAAGCTAGATTTTCAGTCCTTAGAGGCCCCATTTCTCAGAATCTAGTGGCCAAAATTCAAGACCCTTTTTGCCTTTGTCTTTGGACTTTGGTCATGAAAGTCCTTGGCCACTCACAGTCTCCACCCCAGATTTTAATCTGCATGTCTGGCACTCTGACTTCCCAAGGGAGCTGAGGATCTTGGCTTCATGGGCCACTGAATTCCATTAATCCCAGTTCCCAGTCTCTGACATTTGCAGAGTGCCTAAAAAAATGATGTTCACAGAGTAAGGGCCTTTAGTCAAGATCAAGGAGGAAGAAATTAAGAGGATATGCCCTGGTTACTGGATCTTCCAGACTTAAGTTTTCTAGACCCTGATGCTCCAAGAGAGTACTCAAGGTCATTGGAGGACCCTACACAGGGAAGGGAAGCCTCAAACTCCAAGAGTTTCAGCCCAATAGGTTGAGGTCCTTAATCTCACGGTCTGAACACCAAGGTTCTCTGACACTCTAGATGCTTCTCCACAAGTTAGGGTTATATCTATTGCAAGTTGAAAATGTCCCAAGTGGGAAATGTATTTTATATACCTAACCTTCCAGCCATCATACCTTATCCTAGCCATACTTAACATGCTCAGAACACTTACTTCAGCCTACAGTTGGGCTAAATCATCTAGCACAAAGCTTATTTCCTCATAAAGTGTTGACTCTCTCATATAATTTATTGAATACTACATTGAAAATGAAAAATAGAAAAGTTGTATGGGAACTTACCACTAATGTACAATTAGGGCACCTTGAAGTACGATTTCTACTGAATGCATATGACATTTGAATAATTAGAAAGTTGAACAATCCTTAATCATGAGTCGAGGATCTTTTGTATATACCCACCTTGAACTAATGGCCCCAGTATACAATCCTCATAATTCTAAGGGCCTTGCAAGGCAGCCTTGAGACAGAGAGGCTGCTTTGAGAACCTCAAATGCCAGCCAGTTGAACTGACCCTATACCTTAATTTTGCAGGTTCAAAAAGCTGCTAGCCTTTTAAACGGGTCCCAACAAAGCGCTTCCAGCAGCCCTGAGATGCTCCAAGGAAGTTAACTGTCCATCTGGGGAGGGAAGGGCTAGCCAGCCTAGAGAATTCAGCCCCTGGACCTGTACCATGTTCTTTGCTGGAGTAATCAAAAAATGTTTGTAAGAACGAACACCAACACAACCCCCAGTATTCTAGGGAAAAATATCACTCTGTAGAGAAAAAAAATAACCTCTTCTCATGAATAAACTCCCTAATAAGCATTTCAAACTACACAAGAAAAAAAAATCACCAAGAGGGAAAGTGTGAGAGGTCATAGCCAGGAAAACTAACTTCCAAAAAATGGTATGAAAGACCAGGAACCAAGAAGTTGAGGCTGTCAGCTTGGGAGAAACATAGGCAACACCCTGCTCTCTGTCTTGGAGGTCACAAGATAGGACAAGCACCTTACCCACTGAGGTTCTCAACTCAGTAGCCAAAGGCCCCCAAAGGTGAACAGTGTCTGGCCTGAGACACACAGAAGCTGAGTTCCTCCCAGAGGTCACTGAGCAGCATGGACTTGGGTGGTTGGGGTGCTGGCTCAGAACTCAGCCTCACCTGGCTGAATTTGGGCTCATACTCCACATGGCCGTTGTTGTTGACGTGCAGGATGGGGGCTGCAATGGCTTTTGTCAGGTCAAAGCCAAGCCACAGCTTGTTCATGATTGTCTGGGAGAGAAAAGAAGGATGGAGGGAGGAGAAGTCACCAGCCACCCCATACCAACCCTCTTACCCCGACTCTAGAGAGTCAGACAATAGGCTACACTAGCCAGCAACCCCCAGACTCACCTGGACCACAGCAGAGATGATGAGTTCCCCACCAGCTCCACCAATCACTAGCTTTGACCCTTGGTTTTTGTTGACCAAGATGGAGGGTACCATGGATGATGGAGGCCGCTCACCTGGAACTGGGGATAGGCATCACCCACACCCTCCAGCTCAGCCAGTGGGGTGACCCATCCAAGGATTGGCACGTAGCTGCCCACCTTCCCTCCTCTCCCCAGTGGGTACCTGTGGAAGTTGGACTGGAGGCTTGGCTCTCACCTGGTTGGGGGGTGACACTGGAACCTGGTGAATATCTCCAGCATAAGTCCAGTAGCTCATTGTTGAGGAGGATGCCTGTTCTCGGCGAGTACACCATGGCTCCAAAGCTGCAGGCCGGGGAGACAGAGCCTAGGCTTGGGCTCCCATCAACACAGGGCACCAACCTCTCAGTATCCCTTATGATATGGCTCTCCACCAGCATTCTGGAGCCTGGAGCCACCCAGGACCCCAAATATTCCCTTGTTCCTTTTCCCATCAGGATACCCTTCTGAATAAGGCCCACTCCAGGCAGGTCCTGGCTCAGAACCACCCAGCAGTAACCTTCTCAACCACAGATGTCCTGGGTATGACTCCTTTTGAGACACAGGAGGAAGGGAAGAGCAAAAGCCAAGGGATCACCCCATGGGGACTAGCAAGGGGAGGTTGGCAGGTAAAGATCAGGAGGGAGTTTAGGTCTTAGGAGCAAAGGTGAGAGGCCTGCCCACCTGCCCCCAGCCTCACGCACGGTGTGTTGATGGTGCTGGTGGCAGACACAGCACTCCCATCTTCTCCCAGCACAGACACATGAGAGGTGCCCATCCTGTGGTCCCAGGTCCCGACCAGGTTGTAGTGGTTGAGCTGGTGATCACCACGTTCATCAATCTGCTGGCGGATGTGCTGGGCCAGAGCCTCCCCTAGCAGGTCCTGAGAGGCATTCTGGGGCAAGTAAGCAAGTGCCAGGGTCAGTAAGGGGCCAGGTAGCATCCTCAGAGCATAGGGCAGAACAAGCTCAGCTGCTCTGGTGGATCCTTTACCTGAAGGACAGACTATACCCAGAACCTGCTCCCCACACTTGGATCCCTTCCAGTGCCTAGGACCACTACACTCTTCCTTCCCTGAGCCCTCCCAGGCTATCGTGGCCTAGACCCACTATAATCCTTCTAGCCTCCGCAGCCAGGCTTGACCCTCCTTTCATGATGAGTCCTGAGGCAAGGAAGAGGACTCACCATGAATCCCAGGCAACCTCACCTCGACCTCTGGGTGGCTGCGAGGGTCCCACAGCCGCCACCTTTGTCCTCTGGCAAACTTGAGTGTTTCCACAAGGTGATGATACATGCTCACTCTCCCTTCAGGTCTAGCCACAGACTCCGCAGAGAAGTTGAACCCTGAGAGGGGGCAGGATGCAGGTGGGGGTTACCCTGCATAGTGAATTGAATGCTGGTCCCCTAAAAAGACTCAACAGAACACTAATACAGTCAACTTCAGGCAGGCTCAGACCTGGGCACTGCCAAGACACTGCCCCCTGCAGGTTGTAATATCCTGGGTTGTACCTCAACCTGAGTTCATACCTCTGATGAGAAGCTCACTACCTGCAGAGTTACTGTGGGACTGAGTCACCTACTAGGGAAAAGATGTCAGTCCCTTTAGCAAAACCTAATTGGATGGGCCAATCCCCTAGAGAAGGACCAACTCTAAAACACACCTTCCTGCCCAGTGTCTATAGCCCTGTCTTGGACATTATGCATCTGCTAACACAGTTTATGGAGGAGAGAGCTGGGCAGAAAAGGGCAATGGCTACCTGCTATGGTTGGGATATAATTTGGGTGCATTCTATTCAAGGGCCTATGGTGATTGGAAGCTTAGTTCCCAGGGTAGTGGTATTGGGAGGTAGTAGAACCTTTAAAAGGTGAGGCCTAGTGGGAGATCCTTAGGAATCTGGTGTGCTGTTGGAGAGTGGTTTGTGTGCAACCCCGCGGTAGTTCTCACAAGAGGGTTGTTATGAAAGGAGCAAGCCTGGCCCCACCCACCTCTCTCTGCTTCCTGATTTGAGATGTAGCTGCTTGCCGTACCATTGCTGTCTGCCACCCATCACCCACCATGAAGCCAATGCAGGCACCATGTCCTTGAACTTCTGAAACTGTGAACTAAGTAAACCTTTTCTTTCTCTTTCCTTTTTGTGGTACTGGAGATTGAACTGCAGGGGCACATTGCCACTGAGCTATATCTCTGCCATTCTTATTTTTTATTTGAGATAGTCTTGCTACGTTGCCCATGATGGCTTTGAACCTGTCTCAACCTTCCAGGTACCTGGGATTACAGATATGTCCCACCAAGCTCATCTTCTTTTTTTATCCTCTCTAATATTTTATTTCATTTTACTTACTTTATTTTATTTTGCAATGGAAGGGATTAATTAGCCTAAGACCTCATGCATGCGAAGCAAGTATTCTACCACTGAGCCAGATCCCTCCAGCCCTGAAACTCCTTTTCTTTACAATTTTCATTTCTTTGCCATGATGAAAACCTAACTGATACACCACCCAACACCATGACTGGGCTAGGAGCTCGGGTTCCCATCGGGGCTCTGGTCAAGAGGCCCAGCGAGGTCTTACCTCTCAGCACATTGAGGATGAAGCTGAGAATGGCACCCCCCGCAGGTGGTGGCGGTGAGTACAGGGTGTAGTTTCCGAGGGGCAACTCCAGGGCATCCACCACCTCAGGCTGGAAGGTAACCAGGTCCTGCATACTCAGCTGGCTCCCTGGGATGAGGTGGAGAGGACTCCAGGTACAGATGGGAAAGTGAGCAAAGGATTGCTCAGGGCACCAGGATACTCACGGGGGTCCCCTTGCACCCTAGCCATGTCGACATGAAAGGGTGATGGTGGGTGTCTGTGCAGTGGTGTGGGGTGGGTAGACAGAGACCAGAGGAAGGCGGGTGTGGGGAGAGGAAGAGGAAGAGGAGAGGGAAATTGGGAGGGTGCGTCCACCCAGCTGCCCAGGCCTGCTGTCCACCCAGCTGCCCTGCCTGCCCAGGAGGTCTGTAATCCCCTCCATCAGCTCTAATTCACAAGGGCTCTGCTCCTTGAATTCCTTTACCACAGAGGCCCCTGAGGCTACCAGTGGCTAGGCTGGGTGCCTTGACTCTCTGAGACCTGGGAGCAGCCAGCACTCTAGCAGGGCCTGCCTTCAACCCCCCTGACTCTGTCTCTGGCAGGGATGAGGCGTTGGAATGTCAGTGCAGCTGACCTTCCTTGGCAATATCCTCCACCAGCATCCGGCCCAGCCTCCCTGTGTAGAAGACCTCTGCGCCCTCCGTGGCCACAGTCTCCAGGGTGGTGGCCAGCGCAGGCCAAGGAAATGGGTCCTGAGGCCTCAGCGGTTCTGTCCCATTGAAGAAGAGCTGCCTAGGGAGTGGGGGGCAACCTCAGGGTGAGGCTAGGTCCCAGAGGGCAGTCACATTCCTGCCAGGGTCCTAGTGTGATCCTAGGGACTGTAGGGGGAAGACAGTTCTGTCCAGGGGTCCTGAGGCACTGGGGTAGATAATGGGGGGACAGGTTCTTTAGAAGCAGGTGGGGCTGAATACCAACCTCCTCACTTACGGCCCTGGCCCAGAGAGGGCACCTTCCCCAGTGAGTCTAAGCTCACCGTGGCCGCCCTTCCCATGACCCTGGGAAAACCTGTCAGTGGGATAGCAGGTGGGGCAGGGAACAGCCAAAGGCCTCCTACCACCTCAAAGACAGTGAAAAGGAAGCCTAGGGCCTGAAGGCAGATGGCAGAGCCCAAATCCACACCCTTGGATTCCCATGAATTAGGCATCAAATTCTTCCTGGCTTAGCTTCTCTGAGCCAGGTTCTGATCCAGAAAGAGAAGTCCTGGCCATCCTGGCCTGAAGACCCCAGGCACTATGTTAGGGTCAACCCTCCAGTGTGAGGAGGGACCAAGGCAGAGCTGGGGTTTGGCTGGGGTCAGTAGGGGGTGGCTTTAAGCCCAGGGCCACTGTGTGTGCTCACCTCAGGGTTGATGCCTGTAAGGAAGGCTGCAGGAACCTGCTGTTCAGGAACTGGCTCAGGACAGAGGGCATGCGGTATCCCCCTCGGAGAAGTTCAATAGTGGGCTGGAACAGCTGTGCCCAGGGCAGTCGGCCATGGCGGTGGTGGGCCTCTGCATAGCCACGGAGCTCCCCAGGCACCCCAATCCACTGGGCCCCTGTGTGACATACCCCTGCCCTCAGCCCTGTGTTTTCCAGGCCCACCCAGGGCTTCCTTCTTCCTCCCACACTCAGCTCCCACCCCCACCCCAGCTACAGCAGCCAGGGTGAGCTTCTGGAGTCCATTTCTGACCATATTCCTCCCTGCACAGTCCTCCATGGCTCCCCATCGCCTTCTGTGCACGTCCACCTTTAGGTTCATAAAGTCCTACACAGACTGGCTCCAGAAGCCCTGTCCCTCTATCCCATCTCCACCAGCCAGGTTCTAACCTTGAATCACCCCTCCCCATCCAGAGAACCCCTCTTCCACGAAGACTCCCCCAATCCCAGCAGATTAGGGACTCTGCATGGGCTCCTCCTACCCCAGCTCTCATGCTCCACCTAGGGTGTTACCTGTCCATGAGGGACACTGTTCCTTCAGGGTGCATTCTGGTCAGCCCCAGCAGCTGAGTGGGGTGGAAGTGGGGGATCCCTCCTAGGACCTCACCTGTGCCCAGTGGCAGAGCCTTTTCACATTGGTCCAGCAGGTTGTGGTCATAGTTGGCCGGCACCGTCTCCCGGGCATTGATGACCTCCACCTTTCCTGGAGTTGGGGCAGGCGGGGTAGGTGAATGGTTATAGCCCCCCAGATGGCCTCAGTTTCCCTCTTGGTGCTAACACTTGGAATAGAACCTGCCCACAAAGGCTTTCCAGTGGAAACGAAGAAGGCAGAGCAGGGGAGCCTGAGATCACCCAGAAAGGGGCATGGGAATTGGTTACCCTGTGATTGTGGACAAGTCTGTTCTCCCCATGGGAGGGTCACATGGGGGCCCACCTGTTGTTGCATTGTAGATGGTAAAGATGACGCCTCCACCCAGGCCCATGCTCTGAGGGTTGACAACGCCGGAACAGATCAGGGCTGCAATGGTGGCGTCCATAGGTGAACCCTGCTGCTGGAGGATGGCTCTGGGGGACACGGCCACAGAATCAGTTGCCTGGTTTGCCACCCCCAGACTTCCCATTTCCTGCTGAACTTGTTCAGTTGACACTTACTGGGGAACAGTAACAGATTAGGGGCCCATCTCCAGCCACCAAAACCCAGGTTAGGTCAGAAAACACACCGAGTTGTCCACTCAAATCCAGCAGCTAGCTTATCCAGGGCACTTGACAGATTGCAAAGTATGATGTCATTTGCATTTCCCTTTGTCCTATACAAGGCACTTCTCAGTTTGCAAAGTGCTTCTGCTTCCTTGGTTCCCTAGCTGCTCCCTGTAGTACTGACTCACTGCATCAGGCAGAAGCAGGCCTGGGCTACCCCTAAAGCCTACTTTAGGACTCTACTCCCCATCTCACTGTGGACACCCTGGCCTCAATCCCTTCAAGGCTGGACTCTGGTAGGTGAGCCCAGGATCCTGACATGCCACCAGAACCCTGTAGGGCTGATGGGCCTCTCAGCTTCTCCTGGAGCCCAAAGTTTGTGAGAATGTTCTCTGGCCTCAGCATCCCCAATTGTCCAAGGAACGAGCCCTTTACCTTCAAAGTGTGATTGGAGTAGCCTGTGTTGTGAGACCCCTGTCCCTGAGGCACAGCCCTGAACATTTCACCAAGGCTGCTTCTCCCACCGCCCCCCATACTCAGGAACCTCCCCAGCACCTCAAAACCCCAGTTCCCAACAAGGAAATCAAGACTCAAAGAGGGAATAGAATTGGGTCCTTTGTCCCACCTCTTAGGAACTCTCACCCCAGCACTTTCCCTTGGATCTGTTACCTGTAGCTTGACCAGCAAAGTCTATCCTGGCCTCCAACCCTCCCCAGCTCCTGAGCCAAGTGTCCCTGCCGCAGGCCCAAATGTTCACACATGGATGCCACATGGATACACATAATCCCGAAATGGGAAAGAGGGAAGGAAGCCAAAAGCATCAAAGAAACAAGTCTGCTACATGTAAGCATGATTACAAATTTTTAACAAGAATAAAGACCATCAATAAAATCAAATGATAAATTGAGGATGGGGAACACTAAATTCCCACCACAAATCCCCTGTCTCTCATCTCTTCACTAAAGGGAGCAGCCTTCATCTTCCCTACCCAATCTGTTTCAAGCTTGCCAGTCTGTCAGTTGTCCCTCCCCATGGAAGTGTTTTTTTTTTTTTTTAGGACCTTGCTAAGTTGCTAATGCAGACCTCAGACCTCAAACTTGAATCCTCCTGCCTCGGCCTCCAGAATCACTGAGATTACAGGTATGGACCACCATGCACAGCCCTGGAAGCCCTTTCTGCACTTAACTTCCAGGACCCTCTGCCATCCACCCTATTTCAGGTTTTTCTTCCACCTCTCTGACCCCCTGATTTTGGGGGCCCCAGGTTCAGTTTGTCTGTGGATGAACTCATCCAGACTCATACTACAAAATGCAAATTCTCTGCTGACGACTTCTAAATTTTATTTTTAGTCCATCCCTCTCACTAAACTCTAGACACATATGCCCAGCCATCCATGAGATACCTCCCCTGGGCATTGATGAAGCGTTGCATGCTTACCATGACCTAAATTGCACTCTTTCCCCCTCCCATGCCTGCCTCCAACATAGTTCCTATCCTTGTCTTCAAAATCTGAGAAAATGACATAAGCATTCACCCTTATATTCATTCTATAAATCCTAGAGGGGTTTTTTTTTTTTTTTGTGTGTGTGTGTGTGTGTGTGATGCTGGTGATTAAAATGAGGGCCTTGTACATGCAAGGCAAGCACTCAATCAACTGAGCTATATCCCCATCCCCTGGAATCATTCTTGATGGTCATTTCCTTCCATCCCCATATTCAATTTGCCAATGATTCCTATAGGATATACCTCCATCACCACCATACTGGTCCAAGCCACCAACCTCTGTCATCTGGGTTATTATAATGGCTTCCTACCTAGACCCCCACATTTGCCTCTTTTTTTTTTTTTGGTACTAGGGATTGAACTCAGGGGCACTCAACCACTGAGCCATATCCCAGCCCTATTTTGTATTTTATTTAGAGACAGGATCTCACTGAGTTACTTAGCACCTCACTTTTGCTGAGGCTGGCTTTAAACTTGAAATCCTTCTGCCTCAGCCTCCTGAGCTGCTGGAATTACAGGCATGTGCCACCCCCTCCTGGCTCTCATTTATTTTTATATATATATATTTTTTTAACCAAACTATCTTTACTGTTTACAGTAGTAAAGGGTAACATAATGTACAAATTGGTGAACAAACAACAGAGCCAACAACTTCCCACCAGAGCCCATACAGCAAAACAGGAAATGAGGACATTTCTGCAAGATCTCAAGCAAGTGAGGTGATGGGTCACTATCAGATGACTATAAAAGGCAGAATGGCCATCAAGCAGCAATGGATCCTTACAGGACGATAAGCAGAACTATGAACATTTTAATTGGTATAGATTCCCAAATATCTCACAGAACTGGAGTCACTGTTCTAATGTATAATTTTGATACTTATTTGGACAGTGGCAAAGTAAAAATCCATAAGAACACTAAGTCACCTTTCTGTGGGTTTCTTTTGCAACCACACTTTGAAGCAGCTCTTTTATACAACATAACTGCAAATTCAGTGATATTTCATCTTACTTTATATAAAGACCATAATTATCTGTTAGAAGTAAATCTGAGGCCACAATACAATTACCGAATGAGAAACATGGTGATTATTTTCTGGTTTTGAAAAGATAAAAACTGGTTTTGGTTGTGCCAATCATTGCCCACATACCCACACCCAGGCACTGAGTGCAGAGGTGACATCCTGGGCCTCAGACTCAGAGGGGACACACTCAGGAGCAGAAAGCACTTGGGCCTTATAACTGAAGGACTTATTTTGATTTTTACCTTTGAAGAAGTATTCCAGTATTTTGCCTTCAACTATACCATATGCTTGATGAAGTCTGTCATTTGCAGCTTTTAGAATTTTAATAATGCGCCTGGTGGAATTCCACCCCCCACACTCTCCCACTGATGCACAGTGTGAACATGAGCTCTCCGTGGGATTCGGACAAGTAGCTCCAGTAGTGACCACTTCTCCAGGGGTGAGAGCCTGGCCACAGACTGAAGCCAACATTTGGCCACAAGTTTGAAGGAAAACATGTCTTGAGAGGGGCAATGAACAAAACCGAGAACAAAAACAAACCCAAAACCTTAAAACTCATTTCACAAAGAGAACAATGTGATTGGCCCAATGGAAGCTGTAGACTCATCCCTGCAGAGTTTTGAGCTGCACTTGAAGGGCTTCGAGGATCGTTTCGGTGCCTGTCCTTGTCTTTCTCGGACTCCTCTGTGATCAGCGTGGTCGCTCACCATTCAATAACAAATGCAAGGACGATCGCAGGGTGTGGGGTGGTCCCTCTGGAGGCCATGCCTCCCGTCTGCTGCTGGAACACGTCGATGGTGTCCTCATCCTGCATCTCCAGCTGGGCTGGAGTGTCCGTTGCATTAATTGGCTGCCCATCAAACCTGAATCTAATCTGTCTCATTGATAATCCCTGCCTCTCGCAGTAGGTCTTCATCAGTCTGCTCATCGGGGTGTGCCTCTTGATCTTGAACTGCACCACCCTGCCATCCTGCCCCACCACCTTCAGGTTGATGTGGTCATTCTCCGTCTTCACACCCTCCTTGGGCTTCTCCTGGGACATGGCTGCACGGGCGACAGCATTGAGACACAGAGGCTCGAAGCGGGCGAGTCACGCTCTGGGCCCCGCTGCTCTCCCGCCTGGCTCCCTTATATTTTATCAAAATAATTTGTTAAGTGAAAATCAGATATCCCTGTTTGGGGAGACTAAATAATTCAGGCCAAACTTTCCACAGAGAACTAGAAAAGCAAGGCAAATAGAAAACATCTGCTGGGCTGGGCTAGTAGATCAGTTGTAGGATGCTTGCCTGGCTCGTAGGAGGCACTGGGTTCCATCCTCTGCACCACAAAAATAATTAATTGATTAATTAATTAACGGTATTGTGTCCACCTACAAGTAAAAAATATTTAAAAAGAAAACATCTGCTAAAAAAGATATCAGAAGCAGGGAAGAAGTTCAGGGCTGGAGAATAAGGCAAGTCTGGCATTTGGAGCTACTTTCCCCTCAAGACAATTGCCAGTGCTGGAAGAGATGGCCGGGAAGCAAAGCAGTGCTGTTGGCCTCCTGGAGTGGCTGGGGGAAGAGATGCTTCAAATTCCTCACACTTGGCCATGGGTCTTTATTCTAGGTTTACCAGTCACCCAGAATGAGATTAGCCCTCAGAGCTAATAATCTCAGTCACTTGAATTGAATGAAGAAGATCCAAGAATTTTGGAATCCTAGGCTTCAAATTATTTCCAAAATTTATTTTTAATATTTAATATTTATTTATTTATTTTTGTACTAGGGATTGAATCCAGGGGCTCTGAACCAATGAGCTACATCCCTAGCCCTTTTTATTTTATTAATTTATTTTTTTTTTATTTTGAGACAAGGTCTCACTAAATTGTGTAGGGCCTTGCTGGATTGCTGAATCTGGCTTTGAACTTGAGCTCCTCCAACCTCAGCTTCCCAAGCCACTGGAATTACAGGCATGTGCCACTGGGCCCAGTTATTTTTAAATTTATTTATTTATTTATTTTTACTAATGACCTTTATTAATCATGGTCCTATGGGCAGATGCTCACTTTACAAGGCTGACTAACTTTGCCAAGAGATTCAGTGTTGGTATCAGCCCAAACAACTACGTTACAGCTCACTTTAAAATTTGTCACGTAGACACAAAACACTGCAGGCCAGGAGCAAGGCTGTGGTGTGCTACTGTCTACAAGCAGGCCAGAGTAAACTTTGTATAAATCTAAAGATTAGGTACACACTGCTTTCCACAAATACAAAATGCAAGACAGCTCTTGAATGGTTTTATAGATAAACAGTTTTAAAACCAGAATGCAAACTAGTGGAATGTGGATCTAGAGGTAAGAAGAGAGGTGGTAGGAAACTGAGAGGAAGAGATCTCTGAGTTATGGCACTTGTTAACTTGCAGACATCTGGGGATAAGGCAAAGCCTGAGATATCTGGTCCACCCTGGCATGATAACCCCTCCCTCTTCCCGACAACTGTGACCATTCACATCTGCTCAGCAACACCCACCACCTGGCTGAACTACTCGCTCCACCTCCACATATAGTGGCATAGACCCTGAACACTATGGTCCTATTTTAATCATATATGCTTAGCCTTCTGGAATTTCCTGCCTTTATGAGAAATCTAGTTATTCCATCATGATCCCATCCGTGAAACCTAACAGCTATTCCAGAAAGGAGGCTGGACCCCTAAATCTAGACCTTGAATCTGCCATCATTAAATGAAGAGGGGAAGTTCATGTCCTACTTCTCAGTTGCTCCATACAGAAGGATGATCCCTGGAGAAACAGTTGTGACATCTGTCTGTGCCTCCTTCTCATTCCTCAGAGGAGAAGCAATGGTTTAATTGATTAGAGGAGCTGAGGAGAACCACAGAGCAGATCTGCCTCAGACCCCTTCACAGTTCCACTTGAATCTGCTGGCTGCAAGATCATGCTTTCCTCTGATTCTTCAAACTCCAAACTGATATGGAACCCAGCTATTTTGAGCAATTTTCATATATGCCCCCAATCCCTAATTAAAATAGCTGAGCAAACAAGGGAATGTGACAGAAGGAACAAAATTCAAGGGAGAACAGACAATCTTTTCAAAAGACTCATAGGATACCCAGATCATGAAACTGTCAGACCACAGACTTATTTTTTTAATATGGTGATTGAACCCAGGGGTGCTTAACCACTGAGCGACATTCCCAGCCCTTTTTATGTATTCATTCATTATGAGGCAGGGTCCTGCTAAGTTGCTTAGGACCTTGCTAAATTGCTGAGGCTGAGCTTGAACTTGCAGTCCTCCTGCCTCAGCCTCCTGAGCTACTGGGATTAAAGGCATGTGCCACCTCACCCAGCCAAACCATGGACTTTCAAATGACTATATTTCAAGATGTAAAAGACAAAATTTAGAATTTCATTCGAGAGATGGCAACTATTACAAAAAAAAAATGGAATTAGGATCTCTTTTTCTTTTTTCTTTCTTTCTTTTTGGTACTAGGGGTTGAATCCAGAGGTAATTTATCCCTGACCTACATCCCCAGCTCTTTTTATTTTTTATTTTGAGACAAAGTATCACTATGTTACTTAGGGCCTTACTAAATTGTTGAGGCTAGCCTCAAACTTGTGATCCTCCTGCCTTAGCCTCCTGAGTCACTGGGATTATAGGCATGCACCACTGTACCTAGCTCTGCTTTCCTGGTTTTTGTTTGTTTGACAGTGTCTTGCTATGTTGCCCAGGCTGTCTTTGAACTCCTGGGCTTGCGTGATCCTCTTGCCTCAGTCTCCCAAGTAACTGGAACTGCAGGTATGTACTGCTACTGCCTGGATTTCTCTATATTTCAGTTTAGATATTTTGTAGCAGAAGTAGTACCTATCTGTAGTTCCAGCTACTTGGGAGACTGAGGCAGGAGGATCGCTTGAGTGTAGGAATTCAAGGCCAGCCTGAGCAACATAGCAAGACCCTGTCCAAAAATAAATAAATAAAAATAGAAAAGAAAAGAAGAAAGAGAAAGAGAAGGGGAGGGAGGGAGAGAAAAAGAGAGAGAGAGACAGAGAGAGAGAGAGAGAGAGACAGAGAGAGAGAGAACAGAATCAGCAGAACACAGACTAAGAGACCATCAGGGATACATTAAGAAAGTTTAGGCCATTTACATGAGGATCACGAGTTCAAAGCCAGCCTCAGCAATGATGAGGAGCTAAGCACTCAGTGAGGCCCTGTCTCTAAATAAAATACAAAATAGGGCTGGGAATGTGGCTCAGTGGTCGAGTGCCTCTGAGTTCAATCTCCAATACCCCTGCCCCCAGAAAAAGAACAAACAAACAAACAACAACAACAACAACAACAAAAGAAAGTTTAGGTCATCTGAAATTGGAGTTCCATAAGGAAAAGAGTGAATGGGGAAGAAGCAAACAAATAAAGCTGAGAAATTGATAAAACTGATTTTAAAAAATTCAAGTCATAGATTGAAGGATTGAAGCCAAAGATTGAAGAACCACCTAAAAGCCTCAATGTAAAACTGCTCATACCCAAAGACAAAACTTTTAAAAGCAGCCAGAGGAAAAAAGACTGATTTACTTTAAAGCGTGAAATTAGACTGAGCTTTGGCTTCTCAATAGGAAAACCAGAGGCAAGAGTATAATGTTTTCAAAGTGAGGAAAGGAAAAATATCTGCCAACCTAGAATTCTCTGTGAACAATATCCTCCACAAATGAAAGTGGAATAAGACATTTTCAGACAAATGGAAACTGAAGCTACATCGGCAACAGAACTATGCTGAAAAGAATATTTTTTAAAAAATACTTATTTTTTAGGCACAACACAATGCCTTTATTTTTATGTGGTGCTGAGGACTGAACCTGGATCCCACCCGTGCAAGGCGAGTGCTCTACCACTGAGCCACAGTCTCAGCCTGCAAATTAGAGAGTATTCTTCAGTGTTGTTGTTCAGACAGAACAAGATTCCAGATGGAACCTCAAGGTGCTGGGAAGAATGAAGACCAGCAGAAGAGATAAATAAGTGGGTAAATCTAAAGAAATGTTATTTGTTCGAAGTTATAATAGTATAGAAAATTATGAGATTTAAAAGTTAATAAGGAATAATGAAATATTTAAGGGTCAAATCACATCTGGGATTTATATTGAAACAATACAAGGAGAATATACCTGAAATCAACTTGCCCATAAAATTGGGGTTGAAGTTGGATGAAGGATGTGCGGGGCTTCATTATCCAATTCTCTTTACTTTTATATAGCTCTATGTTATTAACATAAGTAAATCAAAAAACACACAGATATATTTGTATATATACCACCCACACACTTAAAATACACAGAAATAAGGCCAGGCAAGGTGGTGCACGCCTATAATCCCAGCAACTTGAAGAGGACGAGGCAGAAGGATAGCTAGGGTGTATTTAGAAAAAGGACTGGATGCCAGGCAGGATGGCACATGCCTGTAATCCCAGCAGTTCAGGAGGCTGAAGCTGGAAGATTGCAAGTTTGAGTCCAGCCTTAGCAATTTAGCGAGGCCCTAAGCAATATAATGAGACCCTATCTCAAAATAAGAAATAACAAGGACTGGGGATGTGACCTAGTAGTTAAGCACTCCTAACTACTTAATTCTTGGCATAAAAAAAAAAAATAGCATATAGTCACGAAGGAGTAAATTTAGTTATTGTTTCAAGGTTCTTGCATTAACCAGAAAGAGGACAAAAGTACTAGACTTTCATAAGGGAATAAAGCATGTTGTCATCTCCAAAATAATTGCTTTTGGAGTGAAGTAGATCCAAAGACCCCTTTGTTAAAGGCTTGTTTTCCAGAGTGGAATTCTTGGGAGAGGATAGAAACTTTAAGAGGTGGGACCTAGCGGGAGGTTCTAGGTCCCAGTGGCATGCCTTCAAAGGGGATGGTGGAGCCCTGTCTCCACCTTCTCGTTTCTTTTTCTGCATCCCTACATGAGGTGAGTGTCTTTACCCCACCACACACTCCCCACCATGTGTTGCCTCACCATAGGCCCCAAAGCAATGGAGCCAACAAATCATGGATTGGATCTCCAAGACTGAGAGCCAAGGTAAGCCTTTTCTCTTTATAAGTTGATTATC